TGATCTATTATATCCTAGTGAATGATTAGCGTATCCTACTGATTGATTATAACCCATTGATTTATTATATCCCATTGATTGTCCATAATTAGGTGTTTTAGTATTGTTATATCCTGGTGTCTTAGTCATTGGAGTCATACCCATTGTTCTATTAATGGTGGTTCTTGGTTGTATAACTGGTGCAATACCATCACTACCTTCTAATATTACATCATGACTATTAACATTAACAAATTCCATATTACAAAATAACTGTATTTTATACTTTTCTTTATAAACATCTTTAACTACTCCTGATAATCCCTTCTTCTTACCTGTTTTAATTTTAACTATCTTCTTGATCATTGGATCATTCCTTGATTTATAAATTGGTTGTAATTTAGCTGGTTTCACACTCCTTGTTATTGAATTTTCTAAATCATTTATATTAACTTCTAATTCTGTATTCATATTATTAATTCCTATTATAGCTCGGTTATTGCTTTGTACTTTCAATACCACACCATTTTCTCCTTTATATGATATATTATCACCTGGTTGTATGTATCTTTCTAATAAATTTGCATCTATCTCAAAAGTATCTTCCATGTCATAAACAATTGCTATCCCATTAAATATTGATCTAATATTACCAACACGATTTTTATAATCACCCCTTTTTACAATAACTTTGTCATTGATATTTAATTGTTTTTCTTCATGTAACTCAAGTACCTCATTATAACTTGGTTCTGTTTCAAAATTAAGGTTATTTTTCATCACAAATTTATACAAAAATCCATCTTTATAAAAATCTCTATTATAATAATATCCGTTATCTTTCTTATTACAATTCTTTCTATATTCATCAGGATCAAATTTTTTTCTTTCATTATTTTCTAAACGAGGAATTGCTTTTATTTTACAACTCTCAGCATAATCTTCTACTACCTGTACTAAATCACCTTTATATTTACCTGATCTAATACGAGCAAATTCTCCAACTGTATAATCTTTTTTATAAGTTAAAGCATCTACCATTTCACTAACTGGTACTGTAGTAACTCTGTTTCTACAAAGGATTCGTTTTAAAAAAAAAAATTTTTTTAAAAAAATTTAAACATAAATTTGTTCTAAATTTTAACCCCAATATTCAATGAATAAATTAGTAAACAACAACACTATT